GACATAAGTCTGTTATATGCTAAGAATATACTTAAAACCTTTCCAACATACTGAATCTACCAAAGCTTACTATTCATAGGCATAGCTTTTGAGAGTCCACTGGGTTTTCTTCATGTTGTGATGAGGAATGAAGTAAGACTTTGTAAAGGAAAATAAGAAATCTAAAAGGAAGAAATAAACGAATGCATCCTGGCGACAGAGTGTGGATTATACCCATGCAAAGGTGTGGGAAATAACATATTGCACTTGTGGAACAGTTAGCAGGATGTAGGGAGAAGTAATAAGTCACTACACTGTACAGTTTTCTTTGACCAGAAATGCCACTTCTTTGCAAATATTCCAAAATAGTCAAAGACAGAGATAAATGACCCACATGCTTAAAAATGTACAGACCAGCATTATTTGTGGTAGCACAAAACTGAAATCAAAATGGGTTCCATCAACTGGGGAATGAATAAACTGTAGTATATAAAAATAATGGAATATTATTGTTCAGTATGCAATGATGAATGATGGAATAAAAGAAACATGGGAAGATTTGCACAAACTGATGCACAGTATAACATAAGAGCAACTAGAAAAAGAATTTACACAATAATGTATATTAAAATAATGTGGAAAGACTGAAGGAGACTGATGACGAAACATGATTTCCCTCTCTTGGAAGAGAGGTGATGTACTGATTAGAGGTGCAAAAACAGGCAGATATTTATAGATATAGCTAATGTGGTCATTTCTTTTGCATGACAATACTTACTGGCTACCAAAAGGGGATAATAAGAGGGAGAGGGAGTTGGTAGAGAGTGACAGTGATGCATAAAGAGAATAAAAGAATAACAATGAAAGATTAAAATACATTTATAAAAAGAATAGCAGTAAGTTCAGAAAGGGATCTAGATAAAAGGACAGCTGTATCACTATTGTGTTAAATTCAATATATATACATTCACAATTTTATATGCAATCATTCAAGTTTGTTGAACCTATTAAATAGGTGGGAAGATGGGCATATTTATACAAAAAGCTCATGATATAAGACAACAATACAATAGCTGTCAAAAGATGGTATAGGACCAAGTATCTAAAGATTGATAACAACAGAAAGTACTCTAGGAGTTCAGAGGAGGGAGAAATTACTTTAGGTTGTAATACTCATAAGAATGTTTCATGTAGGAAGTAACATTTGAAATGAACCCTAAAGGATGGGTAGAATCTGGATAGCTGAAAACGAAGGGTGAAGAAAGGAGGGAATAGGACATTATTGTCCTATTATGGTATGGGGAAAAAAAACCCAACATTAAAGATAAGGTATAAATATACGTGGGATATTAGTATAAGAAGGAACAGACCAGTCTTGTTAAAGTAGAGGGAGGGATATTTGTTACAAGGACTTTTTAAAAATATTTTTTAATGGTGGAGTAGAGAGAAGAAGAGATGCCTGCTATATTTTAAAAATAAGGTAGAGTATGTGAGTAGTGGAAGATAAAGTTGAAAAGGCAGGCTTATGTCAAATTGTGAAATGTACCCTGAATGTCAGAGTATATTTTTAAATTAAACAACAAAAGCTTTTTAGCTTTAGCTTATATTTGGTCTCCTTATTGAATAATTTCATCTGATAATTACTTAAGTTTAGTATTTTACATATTCAATAAGAACAGTACCACCCAGAACAGGAGGAAAAGATTGAAAAAAAAACAAACCATGAAGAACAATTATATCAAAATTACACTACATTCATTTTGACTTTGAGGAAAAATACCAACGTAGAACTAATTAAAGAAGATTTTTTTTTGGGGGGGGAATGGGCTTAGGGTTTTCTTTGATTGGACTTTTGTAGATTCAGATAAAAAAAATAACAGGAAAAAAACTTCCATTCATTTAATTAAGCAAAAGCTAAGTAGGATGATTAATTAGTAAGAGTTATGTAGTAATAAAGCCAAGGCAACTTGTTTTATTGCACATGTTGAAAAAAACTTTTTTACTTTCTGTTTTGGTTTATACATATCTGGAACATCAAGAAGAACTCCAGGACAAAGAAATTTCATTGCTCAACATGGCACAATAAATAGAAATCACATTTCCTTAAAGAGCGATAAGTATAATTAATCTTTGTCCTAACCTGCTTTTATAATTTGAGTCAAACTACTCTGTCAATCCAATATTAATTGTCCATATTTAGTGAGTAGTTTTCAATCTTGCTTGTCACATATGTTATTCTAACTCTACTTTCAGTTTTTCTGTACAAAAATAATAGCAAATCCAAGCTACCTCATATGTAAGAAAAACAATTTAACTCCTAAAATATGAAATTTAAAACCCTCTTATAATTATTGCTCATAATTACTAAAGCTGAAATATGTTTTGACCTTCAAAATCAGATATTCATAGGTCTTTTTTAGTTGTAAATAGAAAGTAGGTGATGAATAGAAACTGTTTCTACATCTCAGACTTAAAAATATGGATGTTTTCAACTGGCAAGTCAGAGATAATGACTTGTAATAGTATGTGGCTGTTACCTCTCTTGATTTTGTGATGATGTGATAATTTTTCTTTATATGGCCATTCTAATTTAACAAATGGACAAGTAATTTCTAATGAAAAAACAAAACTAACTTAAGAATATCTAATATTTAACTCAGGCATTCCTTTTAGAGTCTATATTATTAAAACACTTATAAACATTGTTTTGAAATCAGAAGGCCAGTATGAACTGTATTTAAAATCAAACTACTAAAATTTCTAACATATATTTAATTTAGAATTTATTTTGTTATCAAGATAAATGTTTACCACATATTACAACCTAGTGGAACACTCTCTTCAATGGCACAAAAGAGATTAAACATTTTAAAGACATATTTAATTTTTAAAAACATACTTTTATTTATCTCACGAAAAATTTCTCAATTACATTTAACACTTTTTTTAGCATTCATTTTTTTAAATTTTGAGTTCCGAAGTCCTTCCCTCCCTCCCCCCTTGAGAAGGCAAGCAATATGATATCAATTAGATATGTGAAGTCATGCAAAATATATTTCCATACATATTTAATTTCAATAAATATAGGAAACAGATTTCAACTAACATTCTATAATATAACTGTCCATATTCTCTTTCCTAGTCTTGATACAAAACCTGACTTTTTTTAGAATGAGGATAATTAAAGAATTTAGAATTAACCTTTGTTTCTTGAGAAATCTAAATAGAACAAATTGGAAGTCTGCTTCTATGAACTCTGGCAATATAAGTATACTACAAATTTGTAAATCACTGATCATAGGTTTGTAAGATCATAAACCTACAAGCTTCAAAACTACTTGGTCCAGTCTGTCACTTTAAAGATAAGAAAACATTCAAGGTGTTTCACAAACTGGTACTACTACTCTGGTCCAACCTATTCCATATGTCTTCTCCTCTAGGCAATCTCTACTCCAGATAAACTGAGCTACTTCCCATCCCTTATACATGTCCCAAACTTTATCATCTATATTGTTGCTCACAGATCCTTAAGCCTAATATAACACTGCCTCTCATCTCTGAATGCTTTTAAAGTTCAACTCAAATAATATTAAGTTAAAATTTATAAAACACTTTAAGGTTAGCAAATTGTTTTACATATGTTAGATCTCAAATGACATTTCTGTTAGGAAAACTTGCTGAATATTGTCATTCAATAGTGACTTTTCCCCTTTTAGATCTTATGGAGTACTTTATTTATATTGCTGTATTATGATCATTTATGTACCTGCAAGACTTTTCTACTAGACAGTGAGCTCAATGAAGGCAAAGACCATGTCTTACCTAACTCGGTATTCCATCCAGTGTCTAGCACAATGCTCTCTGATCACAGTAGTCACATAACAAATTTTTTGGGGTTGATCTGATTAACACTATCCCTTGGTTTTTCCACAGCTTACAGGACCTACTGGCATTTTCATTATTATCTACTCACTTTAAACAATGTCCAATGCCTTTACTATCTATTCTATTTCTGATAAAACCAATCAGGCATGACACATAAGTTTGGTAATCTAACAGAGCTGATCTCCAGCCAGTCTACAGCTATGCCACATAGTTTGGTATTGTGCTTCAGTGTGTCTTCAGGGGCACTGCTGTTTGCTTTCACTACTTTGAGCTAGTTTGTGTTAAAAAGCCGTAACTAGATACCTAGATATTAAATTTAGAAACTGAGCTGCAACAAACATTTATTTCAAAGCCAACTTTATCTTTCTTATTCCTAAATTCTACAATTTTATGATAATGAAATATAAACTGAGTTTCTCTACTCCTCAGACATTTTGTCTGCTGGTGTATATGCAGGAGATATATTTGGTGGAAAGGATCACTGATGACAACACAATGTGCCAGTATGACAGGTGGAGTTGATGGGAGAGCTTTGTTGGGAAAAGACACATTACTTGGAGAGATGAATGGACCCAGACTGTTCAGTATCCTCCTCACTAGACTATGAGCTCCTTGAGAGGAGAGACGGTTTTTCCTTTTCTTGGTATCCTAGGAACTTAGCACAGTGTCTGGCACATAGTTTGTGCTTAATACATGTTTGTTAACAGAGATGTAAGGTTTTCATCTTGAATGAGACTGGAACTTCTCTCTTAGTTTGGGATGAGAACTCATCTTGCTCCCAACAAAGAGCTCTTTCACTCTTTTACATTTTGTGATATTTTCTAATGTACAGAACTTTCCTCAAAAAAAATGGATCTGGCTATTGGTCATAATCTTCTCCATAAACAGAGATGGATGGAAAAAGGGCCAAGCCAGTGAGTGTAAACTAAGGGGTACCCTCTTTGCTTAAGAGTGATCTGGGAAGAAGCTTTTTGTTTTGGATCTATCATAATTATTTTCAATGTAATATCCTTATGTTATAAAAATGAAGTTTGTAAATACTGATTTATTTTAAAAATCTTTTTCTATAGAGTTCACAAAGATATTGCTATATTTTTTAAATCCATTTAAAATCTTTACTATGCAATGCTACTTACTTTGTAATGCGGTCAATGTTAGCAATTTGCTTCTGGTTTCGAATGATCTCAATAGCTGCCCAAAGATGCTGGATAGCTTTTGTATCCGCTTGTCGTCTCTTTGTTAAGCGTGCCATGACCTATTCACTTTTTTGCTGCAGTAAAACACAAAGAACATATGTATATTGAATTATGGAATTAAGTATACCAATATCTCTTATAATAAACAGAATACAAAGAATGGAAAGGTCTTTAGGAGATCCAACAACTGTATATAGGAGCAAATATAGCTGAGTTTGGTTTACGTCGTAATATAAAGCTTTTAGGCTAAAAGAAGACACTTTAACCCATATGTTCTATAGTATTAAAGAAATAGGTATTCTTTCCCCCATCATTTCTTCTTTTTACTTCAAACTCTGTTTCAGGGTCACCAAATTACAGCAAGAGAAGCAGTGTTCAAAAATTCAAAAATAAAAATAAACAGGAACATTATTTATTTTAATGGCAGCCTACACATATAACAACAAAATGGTAAAAAAAGTAACTGTTTTATTTAAGTTTCTACTATTTTTTGAAATTAGCCAAAATTGCAAGCACTTTAAAATACATAAAAGCCCTATTTAAATAAATTATTTTTCTTAATTTCAAATTTATAATCTTGAAAATGTTGTTTCATATAAACTTAAATATTAATCATCAAGTATTTTGACTGAATATAAACATGTACGACATGTGATAATAAACTTCAAATGAATAAACAACTTAAACATAAAGGCCATGTTATATATAGAAGAAAATGGAAGGACGCATCTTTTAGATCTATGGCGAAGGGCAGAATTCAATATCCAAAAAAGTAGATAAAAAGACACACTTTTATTTTCATAAATGATAAAGGTTTTGTATGAACAAAATCAACAACTAGAATGAAAAGAATGTCTAATAAGTTTTACATCCAAGATGAAAAAGAAACGAACATAAATATATATGACCACTGAAAAATGACAACAAAATATGACTAAGGGCCATTATTTAATACATAAATTGTCAACGGCTTTGAACTATATTTAAAAGAAAAAAAAAGTATGTGCAAAAAAAATGCTCCAAATGACTAATCACAAGAGAAATGCAAAATAAAACAGTCCTGAGGTTTGAACTCATACCCAGTGAATCAACAAAGTTGACAAAAGATGTTTTGTTTAGTTGTTTTTAGTTATGTCTGACTCTTCCTGACCCCATTTGGCAAAGATGCTGGAGTGGTTTGCTGTTTCCCTCTCTAGCTCATTTTACAAACTGAGGTACCTAGGAAACAATTTTGAATTATGCAAGAAAACTTACTAAACTGTTTATTCTTTGTCTCAATGATACCTAAAAATTGTTTTGGAGCAGTGCCATGACATTATCTGATACAAGCATTAGGATGATTAATCTAGGAGCCAGTGTGAAAGATGGATTAAATAGTAGAGATTCTAGAAGATGGAAATCAGGTTATTAAAGATGACTCCTAAAAGAAAGTAACTGACTTGTTGATAGGAAGGATGGTTGAAGTCTAGAACATGAACCCAGAGTCCAGTGATCCTTTCAAATACATTATGACTGATAAAAGAATAAACGTATTATAATTATAGCAATAATAGGAAACTGATTGGATGAAGGGGGTGAAGGAATAGGAGGAGACAAAGATGACACTAAAGTTTTAAGCAGGGGTAACAGAGTAACTATATAAAATTGGGAAACTCAAGAGAAGCAGCATCATTGGAAACATTTTTAATGTCAGTCATAATGTATTCTATACTACCTTGGCATGATAGCAAACATTAACCTTTACTTACCAAAAGTTTCAAACATTTAACAGATGGTTTTTTCCCAATGGAATATTTGGGTTTTTATAAGAGCTTTCAATAGGAAAACTGAAATAATTTGAAACACATATACTATGTAAAAACAAGGCTGTTTGCTGAACCCTGCAAAATATTATAAATGGCAATCTGTAGTTATATGTCAAAATAAACAGGATCTTCAGAAATAACTGTACATGGTACAAAGGAAATGTGGTATAGCGATTAAAACCTACTATTTAAAATCAACAAAATTGTTACTGATAGAGAGATTAGAAGATAATGCCTTTGAGTATGCACTAAGCAGAAATACTAAAGAAGATACTGAAGTAACCAATGAAGAGTAAGAACATAAGAGCAACTGATTTTATTTACAAATTTTCTAAAAGTTTCAGGCAAAAAGTTATAAGCCATAGATGACTACATGATCTTTCGGAGGCAAAGAACTTCCTTTTTAAAGTTTAATAAAAGCATTTGATAAAATCATTAAATTATTGGGGGGAAAATGGAAATAGATGAGCCAGAGGATAATATAATTAGATGAATATACAGTTTCCAGGACTAGGGAGATAACAGTCCTACTATACTGCACCATCACTGAACTACACTTGGAGTACAATGCTCAATTCTCAGCACCATTTTTTAGTAAAGACATTGATAAGTTTTGTCCAAGGGAAGATAACCACAAAGGTAAAAGGAACTTGAGTTTATATTAAATGAGGAATTATGTTTATATTGAAGAAGAAAAGATTTAGAAGGTATGACAACTGTCATTAAGTATTCAAAGGGCAATCCTGGAATGAAGATTAGATTTGTACAATTTGGTCCCAAAAGGAGGAACTTGTAACACTTCAGAAAAGCTACAAAGGAGAAAATTTAGGGTTTAAGGAAAAACTTCCTTTTAATTAAAAGTATCCAAAAGCATAACAAGCTGCTTTGGAAATTAGTAGGTCACCAGGGATCTTCAGGCAAGGACTGGATGATCACTTGCCTGGTATATTAATAGGAGCTTCTCGTTTAGGGTACTGGTTGGACTTGTTAATTTCTTAAGTCTCTTCTAACTCTGAAGTTATTTGGTAAATCATTTTGATGATAGGAATATTTATAAAAATGTAAAATATTAGATTAACTTAATAAGAAATAGAAGGTTTAAGCAACTCAATCTCAGACAAAGAAATCAAAAAAGCCATAAATGAGCTACCAAATAAAAAAAAAACCCAGAACCAGATATTTACAAGCTAATTCTATTGAACATTTAAAGAACAATACATTTTAAAGCTACAAAAATTATCTGAAAGAAATGGGGTAAAAAAAAAGGATCCTACTAAATTCCTTCTATGATAAAAATTTGGTCTTGATATCTAAACCAGGAAGTCAAACCAAATAATGGTGTATGTGTAACAGAGAAAGACAGCTACATATAGACCAATATTCCTAACGATCATTGATGCGAATGTTTTTTAAAATTTTATCAAGGAGAATACAATAATAATATATCAAAAAATATACATGACCAGGTTGATTTTATACCAGGTATACAATTAAAAAACTATAAACAAGAAGTGCAGAAAAAAAGCAAAACTATAAATAAAATCAACTATATTAATAAAAACAAACAAGATCATATTATATCAACAGATGAAGAAAATATTTTTTATACGATACAACATCTAAAACCTAGAGTCAGTATTATTAGTAATGGGGATAAATCAGAGACATTTCTGATAAGACAAAAACTAAGTTGTCAATTATCAACATTCAGTGCAGTGGTAGAAAGAGGCTAACTGCAAATAATAAAAAAAATTGAGGGAATAAGCATAGGCAAAGTGGAAACAAGATTATCACTTTTTGCTGATGACATGATAGGCTTACTTGGCGCATCCTAGAGAATAAACAAAAAAAAATTAACTGAAACAATGAACTCTGGCAAACTCTTGCAGGATATAAAATAAGCTCACACAAATCATCAGCATTTCTGTATGTTACCAACAATTACCAACAAAATCTAGCAGGAAGAGATAGAAACAGAGATTTCACTTAAAATAACTACATCAAATATAAAATAATGGGATGTCTACTTACGAAGATGTCCACAAAAATTAAATTACTACAACTACACACCACTCTTTACAGAAATAAAAAATTCTCTAAATAATTGAGAAATACTAATTGTCCACAAGTATGCCAAGCCAAATGACAACACTACCCTATTTATTCATTCACTACCATACCAAATGATTATACGGCCAGGAAAAAATTAAAACAGAACTCATCTAAAGGAATAAAATCTTAAGGGAAATTTTTTAAAAAGAAAAAAGGTAGCCCAGCAATACTAGATCACAAACTAGACTAAAAAGCAGAAAAGAATCAGAACAATTTGGTACTAGTTAAAAAAAACAGGTTGATTAGTGGAACAGATTAGGGATACAATATATAGAAACAAACAGGTACAGCAGCTTAATGGTTTGATAAACCCAAAGATCCCAGCTATTAGGGTAAGATTTCACTATTTGATGGAAAGCGCTAGGAAAAATGGAAAGCAATTTGGCAGAAACAGGTATAGATAAACATCTCATACTATGTAACAATAAAAGCTAAAAATAGGTACATAACTTAGACATGAAAGGTGATATAAAAATATGAGAGGAACAAGGAAAAAAAACCTGTCAGGGAAGAATTCATGACCAAGCAAGAGATAGAGAAGATCCAGGTGGAAAAATGAATATAAGGATATAAACGGAGAAAGAAATTCAAGTTCTTAATAACTATATAAAAAACATAGTCTAAATCAGGAATTAGAGAAATACAAATTATAGCAACTCTGAGGTTTCACCTCATACCTACCAGATTGGCAAAGATGACAAAAAATGAAAATGAAAAATACCAAAAATGAAAACGTGGCTGAGGGAAAACAGATTCATTAATGCATTATTGGTTGGAAAGTGAACTGGTCCAGCTATAGCAATTTGGAACTATGCCCCCAACATTTTTAAACTGTACATACTTTTTGATCTATGGTATTACTAGTAAAGTCTACACTCTAAAAGACATCTATGAGAGAAGAAAAGCACCTATATGTACAAAACTGTTCACAGCAACTCTTTTTTGTAGTAGCAGAAAACTGGAAAATGAGGATGTACCTATCATTTGGGGGACGGCTGAAGTTGTTAGATGAATGTGATGGAAGAGACATATGAATTGAAAGAGTAAAATGAGCAAAACCGTGAGAAGAATTGATATAATAACAACATTATTATAAAGACAAATAATTTGGAAAGACTTTAGAATTCTAACCAACTCAATGACTAACCATGACTCCA